TACAATCTCTTTCCCTCTATTTTAGCTTCTTTTTTTTCAAATTACTAACATCCCTAGGAAATTAAAGACCCTAATTACCTACCACCGGTCTGGATTAAAAAAAAGAAATGACACTTTTTAAATAGTTGAGCTACCAGCAAAGCAGAAGAATTTGGTTTCAATACGTGCCCTCTTCATTGTAAATATCATATGATTATAATATTATAATTGTGGGTTGATGGTTGACTGTCGTGAATAATGAAGAAAAGGATGGAGTGATCAGTCAGAAATCAATAAATAATTATTATTTATTTATAACGGTTATTATTATTTATTTCTTAGTTCTTGTTATTGTCATTATTCTACCTACTTGTTTATGATTCTCATACCTTGTTATCTGGTTCTTTTCTCAGCCCTGAAGAAGGCCTGAAATTCTTTTTTTTTTTTTCTTTTTTTTTCTGTCCTCCCCTTTCTCGCCTTTAAGGCTATACGGGGGTTTTCCCGGGCCAGGGAGTGTGGGTGGGGATTTAAAAACTCCTCCGGGCACCGGGAGCGAACTCATGACTATATTTTTAATCAAATCTCATGTATCAGGTTGCCGGGCAACGACGGTGCAGTGCACACGCGTTAGCCCATTCGGCCACCCCGCCCACAAAGAAGGCCTGAACTTCAGGTCGAAACGTCGGCAAATTAAAAAAAATATTATTATTTATTTTGGCCTTTTTATTTCTGACTGATCACCCCAACCATCCTTCTCTTGATTATAATATTTGTCCATGTTAGAGACTTCTTTTAATCGAATTATTAACATCCGCCTGAAACTTCGTAAATAGTTTCATCTCATCGTAACCTACAACCATTTTATTTAGGAAAACGCTAGGAGTTGGAGCATTTTCAATCTGGAGAGGAGCAAACTTTGCCTATTTAATTAGATACTAAAAACTCGTAAATACTCATTTGATTTCTACTTGAATCGTAAGATAATTTTATCACAAAATCGAGAAAAAAGGTGGCCTACAAAAATATTGAGCCGTCTGGCGTAACCTTCACCCCCAAATTTTCAAAATAACAAGGTTATATAGAATAAACGGCCCAATATATTTGTAAGCCACCCTTTTTCTCGATTTTGTGATCAAATTATCTTACGATTCAAGTAGAAAGCAAATGGTTATTTATGAGTTTTTAATACATAATTAAATAGACAAAGTTTGCTTCCCTTCAGATTGAAAACACCCCGAATCCAAGAGTTTTGGCAAATAAAATATTTGTAGGTTACGATAAGATGAAACTGTTTACGAAGTTTCAGGCGGATGTTAACCTGTTAACCGGGCGGGATGTATAAATACGTCAAACGTAAACAATTCTATTTGTTTGTAATTTTGTATTTGATTTATGCTTCATATATAAATAAATGAAAGAATATATATTTCATAGTCTTTCCAATCTTACGTCTTTCGTCCAAAATAATAATATGAAATTACGTCCTCCGGGTGAAGAGTTTGCTCCTGTTAATGCAGCGTAATTAAAAAGGAAATTCCACGGTTAACAGGTTAATAATGCGATAAAAAGGGGCCTATACCACGGACTATATATGAATGGCACCCACTAACAAAAAACTCTCATTTGATGTTTCACTAAAAAAAAGGTTTGGCTAAAATAAGATTCAATGCCTTGACATCTAAAATTGTAAGGATGAAAAATTGTCAGGATAGTCTAAAGGCATGTGGCATATTCAATAACAAAATTTTGACTGCCCATCCTGACCATTTTTTTCATCTCATATTTATTATTTATTTATACAAAACTTTTAAATATTTTTAAGATATTGTTATGTAGGCCTTGAAATAAACCGCGAAATCGTCGGAAATACTTGGGATACGTAAATAAATATAGGTCATCCGGTATAAGATTCGTTTCCTCTAAATTTAGAAGACGTCATGTCGAAGTTTCTTAGAAGTAATCTTCGACTTCATAATTACACGGCTGTTGATGATATGTATTAAATCATCGTTATGTATATGTTTACAATGTCCTAACATTAAAATTGCATTATCTCCGGGGAGGAAAAACATTTTCTATTCCTTAAACGTGGGTACTAAAATAAAGTAATTTTATAAAGAAATTCATAAGATATATTGGTTCTATTTGAAATTAATCGACAATATTTTAAAAAAATTTAGAGAAGCTTCATTGTGACATGCAATAACGTCTTTTTAGTGCGAGTAAACATGGATTACTCATCTTATAACTCATAATGAGTTACAAAAATATAATACAAATATTTTATATAAATATATTTATCCATTATTCTAAATATTTGTATTTTTTTCAGGTACAGTTTCTCTAACGAAAATGGACAGCTATTTTTGATTCTTACAAGTATATTTTCACGGTGAGTGTAATGAACATGTTTATGAAAATAAATAATTTATTTATCTACAACTAATAATTATTTATAAGATATATCTAAACTCAATTTTATTTTGAAAGCTTTAATTGTTCTTTCTCAGTGTGTGACCTTAAGGAAGCTTTTGGTTTATCTGTATTTCTTTTATTATTCCCTAAATTGAGCTACTCTTCTATCACTATTACTATAGTCCTTAGGTGTGACAGATTGTAATATTTCTCAATAGAGAATTGAAAGAATTTCGTAATTATATTGATCATTTTTGGAGAAAAAAATTATCGTTCTAATTAAAATCTGTAACCATACAGCTATAAATAAGTAATTTCAAGAAGAGACTAGCATTTATTTTATAATCAAAATTTCATTTTTAAATATGTTTTTTAATGTATTGTTTGGCTGCTTTTATAATTTTATTTTTAATTTTTACCATGCAAATTTTAAAACGAATCGCATTTTAATAACTGATTGATGTTTAAAACTTTTTCTTGAAATAATCACATTTGATTGTATCAATAAATTATATAAATATTAAATTGTTATATCATGTGTTCCTAAAGTAGGAAGAAAAATATAGACATTAAGAGCTACAAAAAATTTCATATAAACAATGGTACAACATTTAACAGAAAACTAGTAAAGTATTTTTATTTTTTTTTTTTATAGGAAACAATAGCTAGGAAGCGAACACAATTTTTATTTCTAAAAAGTAATGATTTTTTTATTCGGATTCGGTTTGAAGAGAAAAAATAGTGTACGATTCAAATAGAAGGAAAAAGTTTTAAAAATTATATCTAAACTTAACATTTGTAATAATGTTTTATATTTTATTAACCATTAATATATAACACCATATTAATAATACATAAATATGGTTTCAGAAATTAATATGTAATCACATCACCTTTTTGGTTTATTAATTCCAATAATGAACCATTGTGATCAAACACAAAAAAAAAAAAAATTCAAAAACTTAACCCCCTCTCAAAATATGAGGTTTTGCTTTTCATGATAGCAATAAAAAACGAATAATTTTTTTTTGCCGTCCGCCGTCCGCGCATTTTCCCCAAAACTACTTGACCGATTTATTTTTAAAATTTGGATTTAAGATTAGAGGTCGCCCAGGGATGATTTTCCTTCATCGACATTTCTATGCGCCTTTTTCATTCAAGATGACGACCGAAAAACGTGTATTGCTATAGACTGTAGCGCCTAAACGAATGTACCGATACTTCGCTAAAGTCTTCTTCTCGACACCCTTTAAATTTGCCTATATAACATACTTCAACGAAAAGAAGCTGGAAAGTTACAAGTTAAGTCGAAAAAAGTTACGAAAATTATATTCAGAATAACTCAAAAAATATACACAAAAATACAAGTAATTTTTGTTGATGATTATTCAAACGTTTTCAGAATTTCCTAAAAAAAGAAGAAAAAAATCGTTAAAATCGGGCAATTAGGAGCAAAGATATGGTATCTAGATATTATCTATGTGTTCTACTGCAAACGTTATATCCTTTGTTTTGGTTTTTGATTTTTAAATGTGTTACGCAAGTAATGCTAATTTTTTTAGCATATTACTAATGATTAAAAAAAAAAGTTTAGTCTAATAATTGGAATCACCTTTTATTTCTCTTTCTTCGTCACTTGGAAAGTAATGTGACTTTAGATGTATAATTGTTTGAAAACAATAATCCATTGTGAAATAATTTGCAGCGTGTAAGTATTTAGATAGATATATAGATAGATAGAAAAAAAAACTTTATTCTGGGAATAAGTCCCTTTAGAATAACAAAATTGTACAAAAAGAATGGAACACTACTGGCCTAAAAGTTTGAAACAATAAATAAAATTGATAAAATAATGTAAAAAGTAAAGAAAGCCTTAGGTGGGTATACAAGCCATATACAACACAGATAAAATTTAGGTTCATTTAAAAAAAAATAATAATAATTGAATCGTCGATGGATTGGATCTTTTTACATGGAAATCGATACTTAACTAAAATTAAAAAAAAATATATTAAGGTCACTTTGGGAATAAGTTACTCAACTAATTAATGTCCGGATTCTCCATTCACGACATGAGTGTATATGGCTTAAGCACTTTTCTCAATCTCCACTGGGTTTATCCCCAGTGACGCGTTTGAGAGAGAAGTGCAGAGATCTCCTGGATCCATGATTTTCTCTCCATACTTGGAGGTACAAGTCTGGTTTGGAGTTCTCTCACCAGATTGTAAATATTGTATATATGTATGGATGTGTTCTTTTTATTCATTTATTTTTAGGTTATTTTATTCTTATTTATTGTATATATATATATATTATTTTTCTGTATAATTTATTTTATTTACTGTACATAGAGTGGGAATGTGATCTGTGAACTCTACTATATATGCCCTTGAGACAGATTGTAATATTTTTCTATAAATAAGCTTAAAATAAAATTAATGTCCGCTTTAAGTGTCTGTTATTTAAATTACTATCGGCTATGTACTTCAATGCATAATTGTTTTATTTTTTTTTAGTTTTTATATTTATTTAATTTTATCGTTATCGATTTTTTATATTGTATTTCTAGTTCTTTATTAGAAGTGTTATCTTGAAGACAAAATATTTCATTTCCGAACGTTCCTAATATAGTATGTCAAGAATGAAAACATTAACTGGTCTTATATTTTTTTGTTTTATTTTTTTAAGTTAAAATACAAAAAATATATGTACCATGTACGGGAGGTACCGTACTGGTGGGGGAGGCAACGGGACGGGAAGCCTGCCTCAGTCTGGCCCGAACCCTGGTTGAGTACGCGTGTGTCCCGCCGTGACGTTCTCCAGTCAGCTGTCGTGTTTTCCCGCCTTTTCGGAGAGACCCTGCTCCAGTCGAGATGGGCAAGAGCAGCAGCAAGCTGAAGAAGAAGGATCGGAGTCAAAGTGAGTAAACGAATAAAATGCTGTTTCCAAAAAATGAAGACAAAATTCAAATGCCTGTCCTGCGTTATCAGACGAAAAAACTTATCAGTACCTTTGGGAAATATTTTTTTATGGAATGTCATCTCTGAGTCTTGTTTGAGCACTGGCGTCTCTTGGCTCATCGTTGGCATTAATCATAGCGATTATATGAATCTGCATTGGTGATGTGTTATCGTGCAATTCACTTATCACAACTTTTCACATTGCGGTTACGTATTTTTGCTTTAATAATCCTAGCAAATTGTATACAAGTTCATGTGTATTTGAATGGATAAAGTTTCTCATACTATCTCATCATTAGGAATATAAGAAGATTTAACGTAATAGATTTTAAAGTGACGGAATAATAAGGATACTCCATTGCTTCATAAATTAAAATAAAATACAAATTTTTAGATATTCACACAGTTTGAAAATTACCTATAAACATATTTACGAAACAACACTAAAAATTAAAGTTTGTCGATGTCATGGTTGTCTTAAGTATGATTCCTCCAAATAAATTATGAATTCTGTTATAGTAGATTGATATCGCAATAACTACTAATCCATCTCATGTTTAAATATTTTTAAACTCTTGGAATATAAAGATGTTAAATTTAGCGCTTTTTAAAACATATCAACATAAAGAACAGTCCAACATATCATCCAAGACTGCCCAGTATTTAAGAATATAAGGAAACATTTGGATATGGCTCAGAGTCTAAAAGAAAACCTCACTGACAACGAAAAAGCCATGGAAAAACCTTGCAATTTTTTAAAATTATAAAATTCTACAACAGAGTATGAATATAAATTGTTGCCAATGACCCTGCAGGGCAGAGACAACAATTAAAAAAAAAAAAAATAAAACATATATTATCATTCATCATTTATATTTATATCTGATATTAGTATTTCTTTAATTTAATTTATTTATAAAAAAATAACAATATTTATAAATGGTAAAATAAAATAAAAAAAATTATTAGTATTAAATTGCCAGTGTCCATGAACTTGGTTGTTAATGATTGTCGCATCATGTGACAGTCATGTTCTTAATGATGAATAATTCGAAAGAAATTTAACTATTGAACCAAGTGTTATATCAACATAACCGTTATGTAAATTTAGTGTTTTCTGAGTGTAAAAATAATAATAATAATTGTGATTAAGTTATGAATATTTAAAAAAATCTAAATATGTATTTAAATACATAAATTAATTTACTCAACTTTTATAAGAAATAATGTCATTACAATCATGTATTTAGATGAACTTATCTATAGTAAAAAATTTACCTTGACTCGTTTCTTTATCTAATATCTGATAAAGCAGTTCTCATTCTGTCAAATAGACTCAGTCGATTGGTGCTACGTGTTTATTATCTTTTAATTAAAAATGGTAATAATATTTTATTTGATGATAAATTACTATTGTATGTTGCAATATTGATTTTAATGCACCCGTGTGAATTGATGCAAATGCTACAACGATAAACCTTTTTTTTTATCGTATCGTATTATTTTCAGGCTTTATATGCTTCATTTAACAGTGAATGGACGCATTGTTTCAATCAAGATCTATAATTATTTTTATATCATAATTTATAGCTCGTTTTCCCATTATCTACGATGTTTTATGATGATTGAAATATCTGATTATTTAAATTTAAATTAAAACAAGTTTAATTTATAAAGTTTTTTGAGCAATATATCACTGAGGTCCTAAGCAATCTAACATAAATGTGGATTAGAATAAATCACTGACGAAAGAGCTTTTCCATGCTTTTTATGGACTTTTAAAACGTTTCGACTTAATTTATCATTTCAATTTACACCATACGTTCAGAGAATATATTTGCCAAATAAAAATATGTCTCATGTCAGCTCCTCTCTTGTTTGGAAAGTCATCCGCATGAAGAAAATAATAACTTATAAGAATAAGTTAACATTTGAAAGATATTTATATTATTTAATAAACAAAATTTTAAAAAATCACTGGAACTGAAAATGAATTAATATTGTCATCTCGGTTAGATTTCGACCACTATGCCCTATCTAGTATATTTTATTTAGCTATCATAAAATAAAACTATGGTCCTATCTTTCATCATAAAACTCTAATTTTATCCTAGAAACAATTAAGATAAATATCGGTATCTTTTCGAAGGTCATGTTACTGATTCCTTATAATTGTCATTCTAATATCGTTTTGTTTAGATTCTGTTATTTCTGTCATATGTATATGAAATAGTAGTTATTTGATTTAAATAGCTTTGAATCTTGAATCTGCACAGTTTTTTCAATGCTTCAAGGAAATTCTTATCGTTCCGACGATTGGCGCAGTCCAGGATGTTAGACTAGGAACTTTCAGAACGCAGGTAGAAGAATGACGGCCACAAATTGAGTAGGAGGAACGATTGCAAGAAATGACCGTTCTTGAAAGTCATCTCTCTGGGTGATGATTAAGTTCAGAAAAATAGGTTAGGAGGCATCTGATGAAAATTACCAGATGTAACAGTTGATATATCTAAATTATGATCATTAAATTTCAGCATATTTGTAATTCTATGAAAAAAAAATTATTTTATCTTATACATAGTAAATGTTCATTTTAATAGATGATTTCGAAAACAAAGCATTTGATCTCTCAAATAAATGTACATAACAAACCAGTGTCCTTTAGGTTATCACAGACTTAAAATATATTGGAGTCCTGCAAGTAATGTAAATTTTATCCGACTAAGCAAAGTGACGCGAGGGTTATGTATTTGGGTTTTCGCTGAAATCTATGTAACGCTTTTTGGAGCTAACGGGTGAATCGATTTTTAAGTTTGATTTCTTAAATTATTCGATGACATCCCCTGATTGTTTTGAAAGAGAAGCGACACGAGTATTATGTATTTATTTTATACCGCAAAAATATATAAAATGATTTTCGAGCGAAATCTATTTGCCTGAAGTCGTAATGTGTGATGAAAAGCACTTAACTACAATATGTATTCGTAGATGTCGATTTCTCTATCAATCTACCAAGATGTTTAAGTAGATAGAATTCCATAGTTTCTGTAGTTTTTTGTAAATATTTTTTTTATAATTTACCTTATAGTCTAATATATGTGCGATATATATCCCATTGCGCAAGAAGGATTAAAGTCTATGGGAAAAATAGTAATTTGAAAGTTAAAAATCATTTCCTTTTAGGCATCTGTGAGAAAGGGGTGGATTCATCCCCCACGAACCCCGCATGATTGCGCAAGTATATATATCCACCATATCCTAAATTAGCTGTTAAAGGGCGACTGCATGGATGATGGAATCATGCTTGCCATTTTCCAATTTGTTATTGAAGCATACGTAAAGCTATTCCAATTTCACGATTACTACCAAAGAATTGATTATATTCTTTCTGGGGTGTTTTATGTTGTTTTATGTTTATCTTGTAGTTTCTTGGACTTATTTACACTTATATTGAAAATAGAATAAAATTTGTCGGATCGTTTAAATTTGGACTTATGCCATTTCATATAAAATCTATATATCTAATTTAATTTTAAAAAATACGAAGTGAATATACATGTATATTCCATGATGTATTAATTCGAATTTTGTTTTGTTTTTAAAATAAAAAACAAAGAACATTCTGCTTGGTCCTGTTAGCCAGTGCCGTAACTAAAGATGACTGGGCCCCAATGCAATTTTCTTTTGCGCCCTTTTCCATTCAGAAAATAACCTACTTTACCCTTAGTCCTTAGGTACTATTTTCCCCCGCAATGTTTTTCGTGCTCTCTGTTGAACTTACTAAATTGGAAATTATATCCTCACTTAAAATAAATAAATAATTAATAAAAAAAATGTATATTATTGAAATTATAGGATGCTTCGGCATTGTAGTACTTTACTCCAATGCGTCCACCGTTTTAAGCTCTACACATACTAAAACATTTTAGAAGGAGATGAACAGGAAAAAACAAGTAGACAAAGAAAACCGGCATTTATTTTCAAATACGATAATAAACAATCTTTCACGGCCATGTTTATTTGAAACATTCAATATTTACTCCACGCAACTCACGTGAGAAAGATTTGACTGCCACACCGCTGGGATACTAGGCCTCTCAGAACGTATTTTTATTTTTCCCTCTAACTATTCAATTTCGTTACGTAATTAATTCAAAATAAATTTTATAATATATTTTATTTTCATAAAAATTTCTAGTGCATTTTTTTTTTCTCTTGTTATTTTACTCCATAATCTGCAAAATTCTTTTAACTCCTATGAAATTACCCTTTGGTGATTAACTTTTTCAACTATTTTACTTTGGTACTCAACTTCGAATTGAGGGTGATTTCAGTGTCGCCAACAACAAATCCTCTTATTTTTATTATCAAACATGCTCGTACTAATCTTGACAAATCGTACAAGTATTGTCTTCCAATTTTTTTTTTTTTTTTTGTAAGATTATATCAGCTCTGTGTTATACTATTTTTTTTGCTATACACGGCACTATGCGGCCGTTTACACCTCCTAATCCGGCTCTGATAACCACAATTAATTTCAACTATTCCAATCCAACAGTAAAATGATAATCTCAAAATTTATAAAAAAAAGTCCGTCACAGAACGTGTTGGTTATTTATACTTCGATTAAAAATTCAAAAAATTGAAATAAATTTTTCTCGCGACTTATAAAAAATCTGTTTACATGCTTATGTCCCTTGACCAAAGTGAGTTTCTTCAAGACTTTGAATCATGAAATTTAAAGGTGTGAACCAACCTTTAGAAGGTAGTTGTAAGAAAGCTCAGAATATTCCATACGGAGTATTTATCTTTGTCTAGGGTGTATTTTCTGGAGTTGGGCCAATACGTACTGTATTTATCAGATTTTGTCAAATTTATGTTAAACTTCCGTTATTTTAAATTTGCAGTAACTACTCTGCCACTACTAGTAAGACAATGAGGTATATAAAACCAATAACTTCCACAACTGTCTTACCTCTTTTTATTCTTATTCGGTCTGATATTAAAACCTTAGTGTCAGTTTATTTTACCGTTATATTAACAGATGAACGTAGTGAAAACTAATTTTCAATAATTATAAGTACGATTCCATCTCCAGTTTTCTTTAAACAAGATTCATTATTGTTTCT